CATGGGGTCCTAACTGTTTTGAAAGCACCAGAGAGCAAGTCTGTACTAGTGAGACAAGCACAAGAGCCCAGTGAGCAATGTACATTAGTGAAACACACCTTTGCTGAATCGAAGCGTGTTCTTGCTAGGTCAAATCACATGTAGTGTTGGCTAATTTGCATCATGCATTTACTGAACCGAGTCATGCATTGCTAAACTGAATCACAAATGTCACTAAATTGAATTATGCCTTTGTTGAACCGAGCCATTCATTTGCTAAGCCAAGTCAAACATTTACTAAAGAGAATCATGGATCTGTTAATCTTAATCATTCAGTTGCTAAACAGAATCATGCTTTTCCTACACTGAATTATCCCAATGCTAAATTGAATAATACGTTTGGTAAGCTGAATTATGCATTTGCTGTAACAGTATGGTATTTTTCCTTATATCTCCCACTTGCAGAGGCACACAAATTAGGAGCTATTTGTACTACAAGCTCATTTTTTTTTTTTCATAATACCTCTTTTCCACCTTTTATGTTCTGCAAACATTTTGTTTTGGTTTTGACAACTTATCTCATGGATAAAACTTTATTTTTACTTAAGCCAAAATTTGGATGTTATATGCCTTTTGCAGTACTTTTCTGCTAATGATTTCCTAAAGTTATAGGAAGGTAAATACAGTATATACCCATAATTTTATATTGTTTAAATGCAGATAAGAAACAGTTTTTCATCGCTATGGTTACTGGATAGAATACAAGTTATATCTGTTTTATTAACTCTTAAAACCCTTTCAATCAGTTTGTTTGTGTTCTTCAGTTACAAGCTCACTCTTCTGTATAGATATTTCCATGGTTCATATTTTCAGTTATTAACCCGTAAACGGTCCAAGCAGATCTACGTTCACATGTGTAGTGCTACAAAAGTAGATCTACGCTTTTTTTAAATATTTTCAAATATAACAAAAAAAAAAAGTAGATCAAAGTTTTTTACACATTTTCAAATGTAAAAAAACAAAAAGAAGATCTACTTTTTTTACATTGGACCCCCGCAGAACGCTATTAATCCGTTCCCGAGAGCTCAATGTTATGCGAAATTATCGTTATGTGAATTAATTTTCCCCATAAGAAATAATGGAAATCAAATTAATCCACGCAAGACACCCAAAAGTATGAAAAAAAAAAAATTTTACCACATGAAATATTAATTTTAATACACACAAACTTAAGAAAACATGCACAGTTACATGACACTTACCTTTATTGAAGATGTGGTGATGATTGATGGGATGGGAGGAGGGGAGACTTGATGGTTTTAGTGTTTAGAAGGGGAATCCCCTTCCATTAGGACTTGAGGTGTCAAGTCCTTTTCTGGGGTTGCTTCCCTTCTTCTTTTAATGCCACTAGGACCATCTTCAGAGTCACTGGACTTCTGTCGCACAACATATCTGTCCATAGTGGCCTGTACCTCTCGTTCCTTTATGACTTGCCTAAAATGTTTCACAACAGTGTCAGTGTAATAGTCACCAGCACGGCTTGCAATAGCTGTCTGAGGGTGATTTTCATCCATGAAGGTTTGCACTTCAAGCCACTTTGCACAGATTTCCTTAATCTTTGAAGTAGGCAACTTCTTCAATTTCTCTCTCCCCTCCTCCGGTGTGGCCTCTTGCTGTTGAAGTTGATCTAGCAGCTCATCAGTGGTTAGTTCTTCATTGTCCTCCTCCACCAACTCTTCCACATCCTCCCCACTAACCTCCAACCCCAAGGACTTCCCCAATGCCACAATTGATTCCTCAACTGGCATAGGATTCTCAGGGTTAGCCTCAAATCCTTCAGAATCCCTTTGGTCTACACATTCTGGCCACAGTTTCTTCCAAGCAGAGTTCAAGGTCCTCTTAGTCACTCCCTCCCAAGCCTTACCTATAAGGTTTACACAATTGAGGATATTAAAGTGCTCTCTCCATAACTCTCTTAGAGTCAATTGAGTTTCTGTCACTACAAAGCACCTTTCAAACAGAGCTTTTGTGTACAGTTTTTTGAAGTTTGCAATAACCTGCTGGTCCATGGGCTGCAGGAGAGTGGTATGAGGAGGCAAAAAACTTCACCTTAATGAAGCTCATGTCCCCACAAAGTCGCTCTGCCAAGTCTGTAGGATGACCAGGGGCATTGTTTAACACCAGGAGGCACTTAAGGTCTAATTTCTTTTCAGTTAGGTAATTTTTCACAGTGGGGGCAAATGCTTGGTGTAACCAGTCATAGAAAAAGTCCCTAGTGACCCATGCCTTATTCTTTGCCCTCCACAGCACACACAAATTAGCCTTGAGGATATTCTTTTGCCTGAACGCTCTGGGAGTTTCAGAGTGATACACTAATAAAGGCTTCACTTTGCAATCACCACTAGCATTGGCACACATGAGAAGAGTAAGCCTGTCTTTCATAGGCTTATGTCCTGGGAGTGCCTTTTCCTCCTGAGTAATGTAGGTCCTGCTTGGCATTTTCTTCCAAAACAGGCCTGTTTCGTCACAATTAAACACTTGTTCAGGTTTCAGTCCTTCACTGCCTATGTACTCCTTGAATTCATGCACATATTTTTCAGCTGCTTTTAGGTCCGAACTGGCAGCCTCACCATGCCTTACCACACTATGTATGCCACTACGCCTCTTAAATCTCTCAAACCAACCTTTGCTGGCCTTAAATTCACTCGCATCACCACTAGTTGCAGGCATTTTTCTAATTAAATCCTCGTGCAACTTCCTAGTCTTTTCACTTACGATCGTTTGAGAGATGCTATCGCCTGCTATCTGTTTTTTGTTTATCCACACCAATAACAGTCTCTCAACATCTTCTATCACCTGCGATATGTGTTTCGAAAGCACAGTTAAACCTTTGGCAAGAACAGCTTCCTTGATTGCCGTTCTCTTGGACACAATAGAAGCGATGGTTGATTGGGGTTTACAACCTGGCCAGCTCGGAGACACGCACTCAACTTTCATACTTAGCAATGATCTCTTTCTTCATCACCCTTATTCCTGTAGGGTTGGCACTAGAAGCTTTCTTGGGGCCCATGGTCACTTATTTTTCAGGTGAAATCACTATAAAAAGGCTGTAATAATACGAAATGTTCCGATTGTATGCTTGAATGTTACCGCGGAGGCTGGCTTGTAAACAATGCCACTGGCAGAACAAGTGAGGCTGGCTCAGGCCGCATGGACGCGTCTCGGACGAATCGCGTTGAGCGAATTTTTTAGCACTATGCGAGGCAAAATTTTAGCGATTAAATGTATTGCTATGCAGATTTAACACTATGCGATGTCAGCATTATGCGGGGGTCCACAGTACTTTCAAATGTTGAAAAAACGTATATATACGTTTGGACCGTTTACAGGTTAAGGTGTATGTTCTCCAAAGCACCAGAATCACTTGTGTATTCAGTGCTTTTAACATGAAAATTTGCAAAAAATCATTATTAATTTGCTGCAGTATGTTGTTACCAGTTTTTAGCTATCAATAATAATTTGTTGCAGTTGTGAACAATTTACTGTCAAAACATCATAATCAAAATATAATCAAAATAATTCAAAGTGAATTAATCACAATACAAACCATATTCATAATTTATTCAGAGTTATTGGCTGTAAGTCACAGCCAAGTTTCACAATAGGGAAAATCTCCCCACTTATTTAGGCCAAAACTTGGGTTACTTGGCACATATTCAGGCTGTTCAGTCAGAGAAAGGATTATTTTAGCATTTCATATTTTCATTTAATCTAAATTTTTAAATTTTTTACTCATAGGTTATCCTTAGATCCTTCAGTATGTTTTCAAAAAGTTTATTAATAGCTACCTGACAAAAGAAACCTATCATGACACTCTAATATGTCTGAAATTGTTGGGACTCACTCATATTCAGTGTGACTGAAAAAAACGGGAAGTTTGGTACATTAGGAATTACAATGAATAAAATATATTACTCCCAAATTTCTGAGGGTTTCATTCTTATAAGTCTCACATTATTTGTTAATCTGGAATCCACAGATAATTCAAAATTGTGTTTTCAGCACATTTTGTTTGTTTCAGAGCCAATATATCTTAAATATTGCTCTAATATTATAAAGACATTCCTAAGAAAAAATGTCAAGAAAGAAAAGAAACTTAGACTTGTGAAAGTCATTGTACACATGTGGAACTAAATCCTATGGTTAGTTGTTAGTTTAGTTTAAGGGATGTGCACCATGCCAAAAAAAAAAAAAAATGGGTATTGCAATAACAGCCTGCTTAATCTGGCAGTCAACAGAGAAGTCAGGGTAAGCTGTGAAAAGCAACAAACTCTCAAAACCTGTAACAGGTATTTACTGCCAGAATCTTTCTTGAGGCAGAATACAAAAAAGTGTAGCAGAAATATCACTGAAAATGGCAACAACTGTATTATCCAGTACCACCTCCATCTTAGCCCTCCATGTTCTGGTCCCCTGTGTGGCTCCAGGTTTTCCCAGTCAGTCTTTAATCATGGAGAAGCACTGACCATGTACAAGTCATGCAACACCTAGGGAATGGGAGATATTGTGGTTTGCAGATATTCTAGTTTGATCCAGTGAGTGCTTCCCTGTGTTCAAGGCACCTCCCTGGAAGGGACAGCAACAAAGACTTTGTATTTAGTGAATTTAACAGAGTACTTTCACCATCTTGGTCACCATGTGTATTTAGTCAGAAGAAGACTAACCTGCTTGACTGGGGCAAACTACCGAGACATTTGTAATTCAGTAACTGGGAGGGAGAGTTGGCAGTATATACTATTGGTGTCTTTCCTTATAAATTCATATTTATACAAGTTTCATATTTCTTTTTAAATACAGTATATACTAGTAATAATTTAAGCAGATTTATGTTAAACAGACTCATTATGTAGGGGGCACCTGTGTTAGTACTGCATTGGCTTCAAGAGAAACTACAATTTAAACAATTTGACAAAATGCTGATTCTAAATTACATAAGATATCCTTTACTGTATGTGATATAGAGAGTGGCGTGAAATGGGTGTGGTACTTCTGGACCAAGATAACAACATAATGGGCAATAGTAAGAAGGCAGCACGACAGGGGGTAGCCATGGTGACCCTCTCTCGCATCCTCATGGCAGTACCCAGCTGTGGTAAGGTTATCACCTGTAACATGTGCATTGAAACCTAGACAGACTTAGTGGAGGCAAGTCAAAGTAATATTAATCCATAAGTTACAATTGCCAATGTTTTTGTAGGCTAGCTAGCTAATTAACTTGAGTAAGCTTTGGTGTATTGTAGAGTATGACTTTCTTATAACATACACTTGATATCTTTTATGTACTGTATAACTAAATGCATTGCATGACATAATCATTTAGATGACAGCTTTTTAAACTCTATTTTTCTCAAACTACGTATATTTAAAATAAGTATGTAGATGACATTTTTACACTAATACTAATGAAAAAAAAAAATTATAAGAAACAGTAAGGACATTCTCCCTCTTTTGTACCTGTGAGAGATGTAATCCACAAGAAGCTCCAAGAAGGTGAACTCATGGATATGCAACTGTGGTACCATTATATTAATGGAGAAAATGCAAAGTACAATTACACAATTTTAATTCATAAAAATATTAGTAATAAGTGTGTATTGGATACACAGTAATATTTTTACAAAGCTGATACTGTATCTTTCAGCTTTTCAGGCTAGTCTTTAGCTAATACAGAAACTAGTTAAAGGTGTACAAGGGTAAACAAAATACATATAAAACAATTTATTGAAAGAAAAAAAATGCAGAATAATGTATGGTAAGTACATCATAGTTATTACAATTTATCCACTGTATTACTCTACATATACGAGTACAGAAATTATAAGATAAAAAGGAGAAATACTTTCCAAATGTCTGTGACTCCTTTAACTCAAACATAAAATTATTCAGACAATTTATAGATCAGTTGTAATACAAGTAGGTAAAGTGATACATGCTGTATAATACAATACATATAATGTGTATGGTGTGAGGCTTGGGTTTTAAACATTGCTGTAAGGAAGAAACTGGAGGCAGTGGAGATGTCATATTTGAGAGTAATGTGTGGCATGAATATTATGAAAAGAATTTGGAACTTGGAGATCAAAAGCTGTGGGATTACCAGAAGTATTACTTCGAGGGCTGAGAAGGGGTTGTTGAAATGGTTTGGGCCTTTAAAAGGAATGAAGCAAAATAGGATGACTAGGAGGGTGTATGAATATCATGTGGAGGGAAGGAGGGGTTGGGGTTGTACCAAGAAAGGTTGGAAGGTGGTTAAAAGAGGTTTGAGTGCTAGGGGTTTGGACCCCCAGCAGGTTTGTGCCAGCATGTTAGATAGGAGTGGAGGCAAGTGTTTTTTTGTTTTTAATCTGATGTGCTATTGGAATGTAAGCAAGATAACATTTATGAAGGGATGTAAGGAAACCAGCTCATCGGACTTCATTCCTGAAGTTGGGAGGTACAGTGCTTACACCCTAAAGGAGAGGTGAAGATACTGCAGTTTGGAGGGTCATCTGAATGGTGATATCAGCATGCTTCTAACAAGACAGTAATTGACTGAATGATGGTGAAAATGTTTCTTATTTTTCAGGTCACCCTACCTCGGTGGGGAATGGCTAGTGTATTAAAAAATATACGTACATAGGGTCCAGAAGCCAAGCTTGTGGATAATACTGTAACATAATGCATATCGTGTATGAGTAGCAGATCCATTAACCCACCTCTCATTTATTGTCATATTATAATACTGTATGCAGGTCCTGGTTCTATGACCCATGATTTGATAATATTGTATGAACAGAAAATAAGAGGAGTACAGTTTTAGGCTGTGCTCCTCTTATTTTCTGTTCATGTTTTCCATGTGGGTTTTCTTTTATTCAGTATTAATTGCAATTTTGGATTTGGATATACAAGTTTATTTCAATACGATACATTGTTTATACTGTTCAGTACAGTACTATAAATAAATAAATGTTCATTTTCTTTTTCTTCATTCAGCTAAATGTGATGCATAATTATAAATTGCTGCTATTAAGCACCACGAATGCACAGCATTTTATTTTTGTTCTTTACAGTACTGCCGCCGATTGTCATGAATATTCTTGAGAAGCGTGGTACTTTGCGCCGCATGCCATGGATATCTGCCCCATTACAAGTAATTATGTGTGGTGTGTGCCTCACATTTGCCACTCCAGCTTGCTGTGCACTCTTCCCTCAAAAGTCTTCCATTGCAGTGTCTAGCCTGGAGCCAGAAGTACAGGTTAGTAATACAAATGAGTTATCCTTTGATTTCAGCACCGTGCAAAAGTTTGTATTTATTAAAAATGTTTTTAGTTTCAAGGGAAGTTTCCCATCCAACTGAAGAATGAAGTGTGACTTCTTATGACAACATAGATATTTTTATCTACGGTAATGTTTTATTTTAAATTGGCTATGGTGAAAATAGTTAACTTAACCAATGAGTGTCTAACAGGACACATCCTGAGAGCATTAAAATCTTGGCATGTTATGGCCCAGATATATAAATAAGAATAATGTGGCTTTATGACTGTTCAGTGAACCAGTATTGCTAGGCTAGATAGACTGGTAAGACCTAACATTGGTAACTGAGAAAAATTGACCTGTTTTGACTCATTTTCTCTTATTCTTTTTCATATCTGTATGCAATATCTTTGCTCCCTTCTCTCCTTTTTCCTTCCTACCTTTCATCCCTTTTTTTTTATTTCACTGTAATAAAAGAAATGTCTTGTAGGATTAAAATTAGGCATTTCTATCTCTATTTTGCTAGTTAAGAGCTATTACCCTTTTCAGTTCTATTTGAAAAAGAACCATGATTTTTATTTTAATGCTGATTATTTTATGCAAAGTATATATATTTTTTTTTATTATTCCATAACATTGTATTTCCATTATTTGTTGTGAAAATATGTCCAAATAAAAAGGATAAATGATCACTTATGAAGGGATACCCTCATGTAAGATAGAGAAGCTCATCCTAATTGGTATATAAGAGAATAAAAATGATTAAATGAGTCCTTCATGGAGAGAGTAGAGAAAAGGAGAAATAGTTAGGAAGGTAAAAAAAAAAGAGTGAAAAACCAAGAAGATAGAAGTAGAGAGAATAAAAATGATAATAGTCTCTGTACTTGAGTCCTAGAGGTGAGAAGTATAGTGCTTGAACTCTGATGGAGGGGTGGGCATATTTGTAGTTTTATACTGTAGTACTAATTGGCACCCCTCTGGCAAGACAGTGGAGTGAATGATGGCAAAAGCATTTCTTCTTTTTTGGGTCACCCTACTTCAGTGGGAGATGGCCAGTTTGTTGAAAAAAAAAATAGTCTTTCTAATTTTTTGTCAATGTTTATATTAATACAGGTGACCCCAGACTTATGACCTTTCATCTTACATCCATCCACATTTTTACCAGTTTTTATTCAGCAAGATCTCCTAAAATATAAGAATTTTAGGGTACTTTGTCATTGATTCTCAAGAACAAAACTCCTATTTATAACATTGCACCTATAGGAAATAAGTTTGACTTACAGTGGTATGAGTGGCAAGAGATCTGAAACCAAACAGGTTGTAAGTCTGGGAACCACTTGTATCTGTCATTCTGTTTTTCCTTGGCTTTAACTATTGGTTTTATATTACCTACAGGACAAGATTCGTCAGCTGCCCAATGCTCCTGAGACAGTATATTACAATAAAGGACTGTAGATACTACTGTATATTCTTCAAATGACAAGATCTTTAGTGCAAGATTAATGTTTCACCATACACATTGTACATTTTTTTTACAGGTGAACAAATGGGTTCATTTTAGTTTTTCCCTAACCTAAGAATTTTTTTTCTATGTCTACCTATTAAAAATTGCAAAGTACATATCTAACAGTCTGTTAAATGGAAAATAATCAGCGAGGATAATGATAATGAAAGGACAGCTTTATATTGCAAATGTGAAGTTAAGATGAAATTGTTCTCTGAAGAAAAGTTGACATATCTAATAAATAGTTGACAGAAAACATTTATCTTTGTTATCCAAACATAAGAAATTCTGAGTGCCATAGCATACTTCTAATTCCAAAGTTTCTCAAAATAAATGATTGTTCAAATTTAGGGTGAGTGGTAGTGTTGATAAATGGGTAAAATAGATACTTAGGATAGACGCCCTTTCATTTTTTTTCTTTTTTGGAAATGGAGCAGTATTTCACTCTGGAGTGTTCTTTTATCCAGCATTATTAAGCTGGCATTTAACTGAAATATTTTCTTGAATGCACACATTAACAAACTTTGTTTTTGTTAGAAGTTTAAATGTCTGAAATTCTGCATATAATTAAGGGCTTATATTTATGTACACACACAATTTGTTAATCCGTGTCAACATATGTATTACTGTTGTTTTCACAAAAATGTGCCTTAGCAGTGCGAGTTATACAGTACCATATCACAGAAAAAAAATAAAAGCAGGGAAAAAAGTGTGAAGTATATTTGTAAGTCCAAGTTGGTGTACTGAACCAGTTCAAGTTGAGAATTCATAATTAATATTGAAGGTCAGATCATTGTAAATGTATGCAGTCCAACCCCCCAATTCATGGAGCTTACGTACCTAGAGGTTCTGCAAATACTATATAATCTGTGAATTATACATTTTTTTTTTTTAACAAGTCGGCCATCTCCCACCGAGGCAGGATGACCCAAAAAAAGAAAAATCCCCAAAAAGAAAATACTTTCATCATCATTTAACACTTTCACCTCACTCACACATAATCACTGTTTTTGCAGAGGTGCTCAGAATACAACAGTTTAGAAGCATATACATATAAAGATACACAACATATCCCTCCAAACTGCCAATACCCCAAAACCCCTCCTTTAGAGTGCAGGCATTGTACTTCCCATTTCCAGGACTCAAATCTGGCTGTATAAAAATAACTGGTTTCCCTGAATACCTTCACTCAATATTACCCTACTCACACTCCAACAGCTCGTCAGGTCCCAAATACCATTCATCTCCATTCACTCCTAACACGCTCATGCACGCTTGCTGGAAATCCAAAATTATTATATATTTTTATTATCACACTGGCCGATTCCCACCAAGGCAGGGTGGCCCGAAAAAGAAAAACTCACCATCATTCACTCCATCACTGTCTTGCCAGAAGGGTGCTTTACACTACAGTTTTTAAACTGCAACATTAACACCCCTCCTTCAGAGTGCAGGCACTGTACTTCCCATCTCCAGGACTCAAGTCCGGCCTGCCGGTTTCCCTGAACCCCTTCATAAATGTTACTTTGCTCACACTCCAACAGCACGTCAAGTATTAAAAACCATTTGTCTCCATTCACTCCTATCAAACACGCTCACGCATGCCTGCTGGAAGTCCAAGCCCCTCGCACACAAAACCTCCTTTACCCCCTCCCTCCAACCTTCCCTAGGCCGACCCCTACCCCGCCTTCCTTCCACTATAGACTGATACACTCTTGAAGTCACTCTGTTTCACTCCATTCTCTCTACATGTCCGAACCACCTCAACAACCCTTCCTCAGCCCTCTGGACAACAGTTTTGGTAATCCCGCACCTCCTCCTAGCTTCCAAACTACGAATTCTCTGCATTATATTCACACCACACATTGCCCTCAGACACGACATCTCCACTGCCTCCAGCCTTCTCCTCGCTGCAACATTCATCACCCATGCTTCACACCCATATAAGAGCGTTGGTAAAACTATACTCTCATACATTCCCCTCTTTGCCTCCAAGGACAAAGTTCTTTGTCTCCACAGACTCCTAAGTGCACCACTCATCCTTTTCCCCTCATCAATTCTATGATTCACCTCATCTTTCACAGACCCATCCGCTGACACGTCCACTCCCAAATATATCTGAATACATTCACCTCCAAAATTATATCCATATAACTTTTATTTTGGTTTTGAGCTCACAATTTTTTTCAAAGGATATATCTCTTTTAAATATCTCTCTGATCTTTAGAACATTGCTGCTCATAAGAAATAATGATAAGAAAGAAATGAGATTTGGGTAGAAAAGCCACCGAGCACATTATGAACAAAATTCCTTTGTTATGAAATACAGTGAACACCTCCCAGAATCTTTTTGACATCTTTTCACATCTAAGTACAAGAAGTGACTACTGCTCATTTCTCTCACATAAACCACTCAATTCTTGTATTAAAAGAAACCTTTTATTTCCACAATTGCTCATCATCAATGAAACTACACCTTTAGCTTTTACGTCAGGTACACAGGGCTGAAGATCATTGCCTCCTTGCCATTCAAACTCTTCCCACTGTTTGGTTAGTGCCAGAATACCTAGCTTCCTGTCAAAACATCAATAATTCTTTCTTTACATCCACACAATAAAATGCTACCTTCAAAATAACCTTTTTTCCGTTCAGTTTTTATAAACAGCAAAAGAAAACGTGAAACAAGGCCTTTATCTAGTCAGCTATATCAGAACATGCATAGTTAAAGGATAAGAATTCTAACCTGCTTTCTGAGGGAAGTGCAAAGAAAAGTTACAGATCCGAAAACCAGTTTAAGAAACACAGGAAAGCAAAAATTACAGTAGAACCCCCGTATCCACCAATTCGGTATCCGTGGTTTAAGTTATCACTGGTTTACTGTGGCCCAAAAATACCTTCTAATTTTGCATAATAATGGCCCCAGAGCACAAAAGTAGACAAGCTGGCAGTTCTTCAAAGCCTAAGAGAAGCTGTGAGGTGCTTCCCATCAGTGAAAAAGTGATAATTCTTCACACTTATTGTGCATAATTTATCAATTAAACTTTATAATAGGTATGTATAGGACTTATATACAGGGTCTGCTACTATCCAGAGTTACAGTTTCCATGGCTGGTCCTTAGAATGTATCCCCACGGATAAGGGGGTTCTACTGTATACAGATAAAAAGACTGTAAATAGGAGTTAATAATATTAGCCTGTTTCCATAATGTTTATGAGGCAAAATAAGCATAAATGATCCTGTTAAAGTGCAAAACGTTTAACGAGTATTTTTTTTTCAACATGTTGGTCGTCTCCCACCAAGGCAGGGTGACCCAAAAAGGAAATAAAATCCCCAAAAAGAAAAATATTTTCATCATCATTCAACCCTTTCACCTCACTCATACATAATGTCTCTGCAGAAGTCCTCAGATACGACAATTTAGAAGTCCCTCCAAACTGCCAATGTCCCAAACCCCTCCTTTAAAGTGCAGGCACTGTATGTGCTTCCCATTTCCAGGACTCCAGTCTGGCTAACTGGAATGTGTATTTATCACTCATAATTTTATCATTCATACATCAAAGGACTAGACCTTAGATGGTTGTTGTTCACCAACTTCCTATCTATATATAAATGCAGGTACCAAGTATTGTACGTATTAATTGGGTAGATCAAGAGAGGAAAGACAATCTTGACTTAATAGCCTTTTTGCTAATGATTTAATAATAAGCTCTCTTATAAAGCTCCTCTATACAGTGCAAATTTTTGTAAATGCAACTGAAAGAGTACATCCAAAGTTGAATAGTGCATGGAAAGATCTTCACAGTATGTGCTAATGAATTCTGATTACACTTTTTCAATTGCATTTACAAATAACTCTCAATATAGGGTAGCTTTATAAGAGAGCTTATTGTTTATGGCAAGTGAGGAACAAAAAGTTACAAAATAATAACTCAAAGTTAGCAGTAAAAGCAAGTAGAAAGTACTCTACATGCTCAAGAAAATAAAATAATTCCTGTGAATAGGTAGGGAAAGGAAACAGCAAAAACTTTTCTGCCTTACGTAATAACCTATTCTGGATCTTGCATGACTAATTAATGCTTCCAGATGGCAAATAATTATTTTCTTCTATTATTTATCAGGATAGAAAGTAAGGTTGAAATGTGTTGAGGCTACAGGAGGTATTATAAGTACCTTATACCATATTTAGCTAGTCTTATACAAGATAAACCAATGTCATTATTTACACAATACCAAAAATCCCAAATAAAGCCAATATAGAACTTTAGCCATGGATTACATGGCAACCAAATGTTCATTTTAATTTAGAAAATCACATACATATGATAAAAAATTCATAACATTCATTGCATTGTCACTCAATAAAAACTGGAGGTGAAATCAAGAAAAATGATGAAATGTAAATGAGCATGTGAAATGATATAGTGAATACAGGTTATTTTCTTTGAGATTCTTTAAATTCAAATTATTTACAAATGTGTAGATAAGGTAATGTAAATAAATTTAGTAACATTCTATAAAAACTTAAATATCGCTTTTAAGAAAGATATCCAAGAAATAAATACACATGCTATAGAGAGGTTGGTACTTAATACCAGGAGTGAGTTTAAAATATATTTTGAGGTTCAACATTTTCACTCATCTCACTTGGGGATACAACTTAGCACAGCCTACATCAGACAGTCAACTTTTGTCAACAGTAAGCTACTAATTTCTATATAAATGTAGCAAGTAGCTTTACCATATAGGTCTGACAAATGTTCCAAGGGTTATAGTCAAAACATCATTCTACTTCAGTTGAAAACTAACAGAACTGCAGAGGTTTAAAATAAATGTTTTAATTTTGAAAAAAAATAAAAAAAGGTAAATAATGCAGGGTTGTCAATAAAAAAAAATGATGCTGAAGAAAACGTTGACTAAAATAAGCTTGACTTAAGTAATGTAAATCATAATGACAGGTTGAAAATTCTGGAGCATACAAAAATTCAAATTCTCATTAAACTAAAAAGAGAAAAGGGATATTTGTACTGCATCTTGCTTTGCTATTCCCTGGGCATTGGTAACCCACTGGGCCTCGAACCTGCTGAGCCAACTGGTCTAATGTACTTTCTATTATATTGTATTTATTGGCAACCATATATTTGTTTCTTTTTTAGTAAGCTGATGGTGATCTAATTCTCTCAACTCCTAAACCTAAATCATCATTGTATGGTGCTGCAGCTATTGGTAGGTCCTCATCATCCCATTCAGAGTAGTTAGCACGGTACTGTGATGAGTTAGGATTATTTTGCTGATTACGGCATTTTTCCAACTTGGCTTCTATTTCACGACGCACAGTATCTGACAATGGAGGTTCCGCATTCTTTACCATTTTCTTAATCTCTGAAAATGTGAAACATTCAATAATAATAATTATTTACATTCATTTTACACATATTAATGACAGAATAGAACCTCAAAAATTTTGTCATATTAAATTCTATTAAATTTTGTATGCATTTTTTCAACTGCACTTGCAAAAAGTCCCACTATACAGAGCTGACTAACTGTGAACTGAGTGCACTAATGACACTTTTAAAATGCAAAGGAAATGAAATGTAAGCAAAATAGCCTCTGTAAAACTACTGAATTCCAGCTCAAAATCTGATTCTTTCTCTTTAAATTTAACCACAGAGTTACCACTCCAGTTTAAACAGGCTGATTTTTTTAGGTGTTACTACAGTAGAACCTCTATTATCCACTATTTAAGTAACTGCAATTCTCATTTATCTGCACATTTCTGTGGAGGGGAAAGTTCTATCACAAACAGACAAGAGTGACAGACCATACCATGGGTGGGGTTAGAACCTGCGATCAGTCTCAAAACTCTAGACCGATGCATTAGCCACTGGGCCAGCTAGTTTCAGTAAGATTCATCCAACTAGGTACAGTATATCTCTACACCATAGGAAAGTTAACATAGGCCACAAATGCAAGTTTGCATTTCTGGTCATAGTGGTGCTTATGCTAACCTTCCTATGGTGTAGAAATATACCTAGTTGGAAGAATCTTATTGAAGCTAGCTGCCCCAGTGGCTAACGTGTCAGTCTGGAATTTTGAGGCTCTGATTACGGGTTCTAACCCCACCCATGGTATGGTTTGTTTGCAATCATGTCATTACAATTTTGTGAGTCAAGAGTGACGAAGTTTGGGAGTGTTGACAACAGACCCATGCACACAGAACATGAATCTCTTCCCTGCCTAACCTTGATACAGTACTTACACTATTGTCCACATATACATCTTATCTTTTCTTTTTTTAATACATACAATATGTTGTGATAATCATGGTTTCCAAGCATGCCTGGTCAGTCCAGCTCATCAGCTGTTGCTTGGAGTTGTTCGCTTCTGGAACATTGGCTATGCAGTTTTACTGCCTTGGAAATACATGAATAGTAGAAGTTCCTACATAAGTGAAATGGTACCTATTAAAAAATATGAACTTACTTCTGACTGCTTCAATTAGAACAGAAAGATGATGCCTCTGCTCACTAGGGAAAAGTATATCAGTGACATACTGATCAAGGTTCTCTCCCAATCTGCTTACTGCATTTGTAACTGCTGCAAGAGCAATCTGCCAAGAAATAATACACAATCCATAAACATATAAAGAACAAACATATATTATTTGTGAAGATATTACATGGGTGAGAGTTTGGGAAAGTTTGAATATAAAAATCTAGCAAGCCATATTATACACAGCATTTCTGGTAAAATATGAAATCACAAATTTCATCACAATTTCTTTTTATTATTAACACATCGGCTGATTCCCACCAAGGCAGGGTGGCCTGAAAAAGAAAACCTTTAATCATTCACTCATCACTGTTTTGCCAGAGGGGTGCTTTACACAACAGTTATAAAACTGCAACAGTAACAGCCCTCTTTCAGAGTGCAGACACTGTACTTCCCATCTCCAGGACTCAAGTCCGGCCTGCCGGTTTCCCTGAATCCCTTCATAAATGTTACTTTGCTCACACTCCAACAGCACGTCAAGTATTAAAAACTATTTGTCTCCATTCACTCCTATCAAATACACTCATGCATGCTTGCTGAAAGTCCAAGCCCCTCGTACACAAAACCTCCTTTACCCCCTCCCTCCAACCTTTCCTTGGCTGACCCCTACCCCGCCTTCCCTCCACTACAGATTTATACACTCTCGAAGTCATTCTGTTTCGTTCCATTCTCTCTACATGTCCAAACCCCTCCTCAGCCCTCTGGATAATAGTTTTGGTAGTCCTGCACCTTCTAATTTCCAAACTACGAATTTTCTGCATTATATTCACACCACACATTGCCCCCAGACATGACATCTCCACTGCCTCCAGTCTTCTCCTTGTTGCAACATTCACCACCCATGCTTCACATCCATACAAGTGTTGGTATAACTATACTCTCATACATTCCCCTCTTTGCTTCCACGGACAAAGTTCTTTGTCTCCACTGACTCCTAAGTGCACCACTCACCCTTTTCCCCTCATCAATTCTATGATTCACCTTATCCTTCATAGACCCATCTGCTGACACGTCCACTCCTAAACATCTGAATACATTCATCTCCTCCATACTCTCTCCCTCCAATCTGATATCCAATCTTTCATCACCTAATCTTTTTTTATCCTCATCACCTTACTCTTTCCTGTATTCACTTTTAATTTTCTTCTTTTACATTCCCTACCAAATTCATCCACCAACCTTTGCAACTTCTCTTCAGTCTCCCAGAAACACAGTGTCATCAGCAAAGAGCAACTGTGACAACTCTCACTTTGTGTTAGATTCTTTATCTTTTAACCCCACACCTCTTGCCAAGACCCTCACATTCACTTTTCTTACTGCCCCATCTATAAATATATTGAACAACCACGGTGACATCACACATCCTTGTCTAAGGCCTAATTTTACTAGGAAATAATCTCCCTCTCTCCTACATACTTTAACTTGAGCCTCGCTAGCCTTGTAAAAACTCTTCACTGCTTTCACTAACCTACCTCCTATTCCATACACCTGCAATTTCTGCCACATTGCCTCCCTATCCACCCTGTCATACGCCTTTTCCAAATCCATAAATGCCAGAAAAACCTCTTTACCCTTATCTAAATACTGTTCACCTATATGTTTCATTGTGAACACTTGGTCTACGCACTCCCTACCTTTCCTAAACCGTCCTTGTTCATCTGCTATCCTACTCTCCATCTTACTCTTAATTCTTTCAATAATGACTCTACCATACACTTTACCAGGTATACTCAACAGACTTATTCTTTCTTCTTTCAACATACCAGCCATATCCCACTGAGGTGGGGGTGCCCCAAAAGGAAAAACGAAAATTTCTCCTTTTAAATTTAGTAATATATACAGGAGAAGGGGTTACCAGCCCCTTGCTACTCAACAGACTTATTCCCCTATAATTTTTGCACTCTCTTTTGTCCCCTTTGCCTTGATACAAAGGAACTATGCATGCTCTCTGCCAATCCCTAGGTACCTTACCCTCTTCCATACATTTATTAAATAATAGCACCAACCACTCCAAAACTATATCCCCACCTGCTTTTAACATTTCTATTTTTATCCCATCAATCCCAGCTGCCTCACCCCCTTTCATTCTACCACCGCCTCATGAACTTCCCCCACACTCACAACTGGCTCTTCCTCACTCCTACAAGACATTATTCCTCTTTGCCCTGTACACAAAATCACAGCTTCCCTATCTTCATCAACATTTAACAATTCCTCAAAACATTCCCTCCATCTTCCAATACCTCTAACTCTCCATTTAATAACTCTCCTCTCCTATTTTTAACTGTCAAATCCATTTGTTCCTTAGGCTTCCTCAACTTATTAATTTCACTCCAAAACTTTTTCTTATTTTCAACAAAATTTGTTGATAACATCTCACCCATTCTCTCATTTGCTCTCTTTTTGCATTGCTTCACCAATACGGAAATTAAATTAGTTGGTATGTTTACAAATGCAATTTTTCCTAGGGGTTACTGCATAAAGTTTAAGAAGAGAAAGTGACAGTGAAGAAAGTAGTAGCACTTCTGTTCAGACACAGGCAGAGATGTGAAGAATGAAAAATCAGACGAAATTTGAAGAAATGTTTTCATCTTAGTGTCCTTTCTTTATCCTACTTGTACAGTGGACCCTCGACATTTGATACTGATCCGTTCCTGAGAGCTATCGAATGTCAAAAATATCGAAAGTCGAATTAATTTTCCCCATAAGAAATAATGGAAATCAAATTAATCCATGCAAGACACCCAAAAGTATGAAAAAAAAAAAATTTTACCACTGCCTCCCAGCACACATAAGGGGGATTACCAACAGACCCCTGGCAGTCTTCAAGCTGGCACTGGACAAGCACCTAAAGTCAGTTCCTGATCAGCCGGGCTGTGGCTCGTACGTTGGTTTGCGTGCAGCCAGCAGCAACAGCCTGGTTGATCAGGCTCTGATCCACCAGGAGGCCTGGTCACAGACCGGGCCACGGGGGCATTGACCCCCGGAACTCTCTCCAGGTAAACTCCAGGTAAACATGAAATATTAAGTTTAATGCAATAGAATTATTACAATAACAATAGATTAATAACAATAGAATAATTGACACTTACCTTTAATGAAGATCTGGTGATGATTGATGGGATGGGAGGAGGGGAGTGTGTGGATGGTGTTAGTGTTTAGAAGAGGAATCCCCTTCCATTAGGACTTGAACTGGCAGCCTCACCATGCCTTACCACACTGTGTATGCCACTACGATTCTTAAATCTTTCAAACCAACCTTTGCTGGCCTTAACTTCACTCACATCACCACTAGTTGCAGGCAATTTCTTTACCAAATCATCATGCACTCCGACACACGAACTCCACTTTCGTACTTTGCAATTATCAATTTCTTCATTTCAATGCTCATTAGCATCTTTTTTCTCGAAGGGTTGGCACTAGAAGCTTTCTTGGGGCCCATGGTTACTTATTTTGCAGAAACAAGCACCAAAAACAGTGATAATATGGAATGTACCGAATGTATCCTTAGATGCGCACACACTGGCTGGCTTGTAAACACTGGCACACACGGGGCAGTTCAGGCCACACGTGGACACATCTCGTACGGATCGTATCGAATGTTGGGTTTTTCTATCGAATGTCGAGGCGAAATTTTTGCATTAAAATGCATCGAATGTCGGATTTATCGAATGTCGGGGGTCCACTGTATTTTCTGATTCATCTATATTCTTCTCTAAATGTTGAAATCATCTAATCATTTTGTAATTTCACTAATTTGTTGTACTTTCATTATAGCTCCTATGTTCTTGACATTTTTTATTTTTGGGCATTTCTGAAAAATCATAACCATTTTTGTGTTTGTTCACAATGTTCCCCTTAGTAGTGTGTGACTGTTTACAACTGTCTTTGTTTAAACTATGATGATTCATTAATTTACAGAACCTCATCTGCTTAACTGTCATGTCCTGCCACTCAAGAACTCTGAGTTTCTAGTGGATTGGGTAGACAAGAAGAGATTCTTAACTAGAAAAGAATAAAGAACAAGAGAACACAGTTGGAAATTACATATCTGAATAAGCCACAATATTGCTTCAACAATAGTGATAAAAAATTAAAAAAGTTAACAATGATACAGCAGAAGGGATTTAACCCTTTCAGGGATAGAGAATCTTTTTCCAATCATAATGACACCAAAAGTATGAAATTTGATGGAAAACTTACGGAATTATGCTCTCGGGAAGTTAGGGGTCTTGACAATGTTCACGCATCGGCGATTTTGCCCACTTTGAACCCTAGTTTCGGCCAATTCCAGTGTACTAGTCGACAAAAATCATACCTATTTAGCTAGAACTCCATTTTTTCTATCGAATGAGTACAAGAAACCACCCATTTACCGATTTCAGCTATCCAATACAGTGGTCAGAATTTAGCAATTTTGCCAATTTCACACAAATTTCAAAAGATGCCAATTTCCAAATAGGGTCCAGAATAAACAAGAAAGACATTCCTGGCACTAAAATAACATTTTCTCTGTTCATTAGTCATGTCCCCACGCCCCTCTTACATTCTTTTGCTTTCCATTTTGAATTTTTATTCTCACAAAAAATAGAAGAATTACTGTTATGTATGCTGCATTAGTGTAGAAATGGTATAAATAATATCGGCGCACTTGTAAAAGAATATTAGACTCACCAGTTGACATGTATTGGATGCTTAGCATGATTTGTTTACTTTTGAACTTCGGTAAAAATCGAACATTTCTGCTACTTTGAGCTCAATTTCAAGGTACTTTTCATTGTAAAACCCGTCAAAATCATCTCAATTTCTGTAATATGTCTTCCATTCAATCAAATGAGACCAGGAAAACTAGAATACAACAATAAATACCATACGAAAACACAGTGCAAAGTCACTGTTTTAATCCAAAAACACGGTCAAAGTTTTTTTTTTTCTCTTTACGCACTGTGTGCTGCAGCATTTTTTTTATACCGCGCACACTGACCACATAGACTCATTCTTTCATATGTAGGCCTACCAGCTTTCTCTCACTAGATTTGAAGGCGCTAGAATTTATGAGTACTAGTACGTCAAGGACCCTGGCACGTAAGCCGTACTAGTACGGCCGAAACCCTGAAAGGGTTAAGAGTATATATGAAGGTTAAGAGGCAGCAAATTCATAGATAATTACATATCAAGTGTGTCAGTACCTTAAGAATGCCTCATTAAAAAACCTGTCCCACTGATGCACATATTTAGGAGTAAACTCTCTTCACATAAATTTTCTCACCTGCCCTGGTGCATAGAGTAAGATGGCATCTGTAAGATTGACTCTCTCTAAAAACTCATCAATGTATGGCCTAAGTCGTTCAGGATCTCGCAGCTGCGGAAACCTCGTCTGTTGGAGTGAAAGTACGTATAATAATGAAAAAAATTATCAACAATAAATTAAATCTATTATTTTAAAACCAATAAATTGCTTTCCCCCCCCCCCCCCCAAAAAAAAAAAAAAATCAGTCAAACAGATAATGAATACTGTATTATACAGTATATCAGAAATACATAAAACTAATTTTACTGTAATATATTACAGTCCACCACTAATTCAAAATCTATTTACGTAACTGATCAACAGTAATACAGTACGCATTTTTTTTTTTTTTTTTTTTGCCGGTGGAAATAAACTTCCCTCTACAGATGCTCCTGGTGTCTACTCTATTTCTTGTTCCTCCTGTCCTCTTCAATACTTTGGAGAAACTGGCCTATCTCTTTCTGACAGACTTAAGGAGCACAAAAGTAGTGTTAGGCTTGCCGACACTAACAATGCTCTTTTCTGTCACATCAGAGATCACAGCCATCCTATTGATTGGTCTTCTGCTAAAACTGTCGTTCCTACTTCCAACTTTAACAGTCGCCGTCTGGTTGAATCCTCCCTAATACACAACTTTCCTTGTATGAATATTAGTTTTGGCTTTGTCTCTGTAGATGCCTTCCTTTCCCACTACATTGTATAATGCTCCAAGCTTCAGAACATCTGTGACCTAACTTGATTCCTCCTTTTTCTTCTTCTCCTTCTTCCCCTTTCCTCTTTCCTTTTTCTTCTTTGGGTTTTCTTTCTTCTGCCCTGTGTATCTGTTCCTTCTTTATTTATTTATTTCAACCCCCCCCTCGGTTTTCTTGCTCTTACCCTCTGTGGGCACCTAGCTCCCTTGCAGTGCTACTCTTTGACTGGCTCCTCCTCCTCTTGCTACCTCCCCGCTACTACTTCCTTCCACCTCCACTACTACTACTACTACTACTACTGTACTACTACTACCACTTCCTGCCTATATACAGTGGACCTTTGACCAACGATGGCATCGTATAACGTTAAATCCGACTAGAGATACATTTTAACGCAAAAATTTTGCCTCGACTAGCGCTAAAAAACTCAACCAAAACGATTCGTTCCGTTCGAGACGCGTCCACGTGTGGCCTGCGCAGTGTTTACAAGCCAGCCACCGCGGCTGCATCCAAACATAGAATCGGAACATTTCATATTATCACAGTGTTTTTTGTGACTGCACCTGCAAAATAAGTCACCATGGGCCCCAAGAAAGCTTCTAGTGCCATCCCTGTGATAAAAAGGGTGAGAATTATTATGGAAATTAAGAAAGATTTTGAAGGGTTTGGGGCTAACCCTGAGATGCCTATGCCAGTTATGGAATCCATGGTGCCTAATTCAAAGATTAAGGAAATGTATGCAAAGTGGGTTAAACTGCAAACCTTTATGGATGAAAATCACCCTAACACAGCTATTGCAAGCCGTGCTGGTGACTATTACAATGACAATGTTGTTGCCCATTTTAGACAAATCGTAAAGGAACGGGAGGTACAGAGCTCTATGGACAGATATGTTGTGCGACAGAGGTCCAGTGACTCTCAAGCTGGTCCTAGTGGCATTAAAAGAAGAAGGGAAGTAACCCCGGAAAAGGACTCGACACCTCAAGTCCTAATGGAAGGGGATTCCCCTTCTAAACACTAACACCATCCACACTCTCCCCTCCTCCTATCCCATCAATCACCACCAGATCTTCAATAAAGGTAAGTGTCATGTAATTGTACATATCTTCTTCAGTTTGTGTGTATTAAAATTAATATTTCATGTGGTAAAATTTTTTTTTTTTTCAATACTTTGGGGTGTCAGGAATGGATTAATTTGATTTCCATTATTTCTTATGGGGAAAATTAACTCGACTAATGATAATTTCGACTAACGATGAGCTCTCAGGAACGGATTAATATCGTTGGTTGAGGGTCCACTGTATACCCTTCCTTCTCTCCTTTTCATTAGTGTGACTTTGTAAATGGTCCAAGTCAGACCGAAACGCCGTCGTAAGCTCCTCTCTTATATGTGCGGGTTATTTGTGTAAACTTCCTTCTCCATTAACTCAAATACATATTTCATTATAAATTTCAGAAATTTTTCTTATAATTCATGTTATTATAGACAAACTTTTGTCTCTTCTTTTTAGGGTCATCCTGCCTTGATAGGAGATGGCTGGTGTTAAAACAAAGAAATCAAACTAGAGATTTCTTAACTGAATATCAAAAATTTTACTAAAACTTAAAATCTATATTTTATTTTCTGAAATTCAAATTGAAATTCAGTATTTTTGCTCTTATGTGTATAATTTCAAATGAGGATAACAGTCACACAATAACATATTTTAAAGAATGATTACAATTGTTTGAATGTACACAGCATCTGTGAGTAGACACACAACATAAACATAAACTTTAGGCTGAGATGTGCCAAGTTCAAGTGGAAAGTGACTAAGCAACTATAATACATTTAAATGATATTAAGTATTATCATTAGATTTAAATGAGTCTAAACAGACTGTTTTGACAGTTACAATAGAGCAAATGTGAGCAGACGGGAGGCAAAACTGAAAAATGTGTTTCTGTAAAAGAAGTATTAATAAATAATTGTTGAATCTAAAACTGAAGAAACTGAATATGACTAAACATGTTCTTAAATAAAAAGAAGATACTCATATGGGCAGTGTTAGTACAGGTTATGTTAATGAGCATACAGTAATGCTTGCTTGGGAATGGTAATATAAAACCTATTATGTTCCTTGGCAGAAAGCAAGAGCAGCTGACAGAAAAATGAACTTTACAAACCTTAATATCTATAAGTAAGCCTTCAACTGGACGGAATGGTTGGTGAATAATTAAATGAAACTGTAATTCTTGGGTAAGCTGAAGCTCATTGTTAAGAATAATCTCAGCAGCTTTCTTCTTATCACCACGCACATTGTGAACGAAGTCATTGATGGTAACATAAAATTCTTCAATTTTGCATGCAAGATACACACAGGTCACTCTGAAAAGCAAAACAATATATTCTGAAAAACTGTATAGATCAATAAGCAAAATCAACATGGTATTGAAGGAACACTAATTTACATGTTATACTGGTATAGAACCTCAGTATAAAAATAGAATGCATGCATTCCTAGACAGAGTGCGCTTATTCTGAAAACATGGATTCACTCCCAAAGTAGAATCCAAAAGGGATTAGCTGTATTATATTCAACCTAGAGAGACTTTTTAACACCTTACTTTCGAAATTGCTATGGTTTTCTCTTTTTTTTTTTTGAACACTGGCCGTCTCCCACCAACGTAGTGTGATCCGAAAATGAAGAAACACTTTAACCACCATTCATCACCATTTGGCAGAGATGCACTGACATTACAGCTCAGATACCCCTCCAAACCACAATGTCCTCACCCCTCCTTCAGAGTGTAGGTACTGTACTTCCTACCTGCAACACTCCTGTCCAACTAACTGGTTTCCCTGAATCCTTTCATATACGTCACCTTGCTCACACTCCAACAACACATCACAAAAAAACCACTTGCCTCCACTCACTCCTATCTAACACGCTCACACACGCCTGTTAGATGTCAAAGCCCCTCACATACAAAACCTCCTTTACCCTCTCTGTCCAACCTTTCCTAGGATAACCCCAAACCTTCTTTCCCTCCACTACAGATTTATGCACCCTCCAAGTCATTCTATTTGGCTCCATCCTCTCTACATGTCCAAACCACTTCAATAACCCCTCCTCAGCCATCTGAATAATACTTTTCATAATCCTATACCTCCTAACTTCGAAAATATGAATTCTCTGCACAATATTCACATCACACATTGCCCTTAGACATGATGTCTCCACTGCCTGCGGCCTCCTCTTAGTTGCATCATTTAAAACCCATGCTTCACACCATATAAAGGGTTATATTTCATACACATTCAATATTATTATTTGAGACAAACTTAAAAATTTCAAAGGGGCAAACTGAATTAATTTAAAAATAAGTATCTAAAAATATACACATTCTCTGTACTGCATGTCATTTTACATTGAACTCAAAGAAATGAGTATTAAATCAACCTAAAGAAATAGACAATAAGTTTTCAAGTAGAATTTAACTACATACATGTATTTTGCTGTACATAAGAAAGATGAACAACAGATAGCTTACAGTCTATAAAGCAGAGAATCCCAACCTTTTAGCCTCTACAATGTCATGCAATTTGAAAATAAAATACCTTATTCATTACCATATACAGTGGTACCTTGGCTTACGAGTTTTATTCATTCCGTGACTGAGCTCATAATTCAATTTGCTCGTGTATCAAATCAATTTTCCTCAATGAGATTAAATGGAATGCCATTAATCCGTAACAGCCCCCCAAAAAAAAAAACACCCTAGGGGCAGGCAAAAATACTTCAACATAACGCTAATATATAAATCTGTAGGGGAAGGAAGGCGGGGTAGAGGTCGTCCTTGAAAAGGTTGGAGGAAGGGGGTAAAGGTGGTTTTGTGGGCGAGGGGCTTGGACTTCCAGCAAGCGTGCATGAGCGTGTTAGATAGGAGTGAATGGAGACAAATGGTATTAGGGACCTGACGAGCTGTTGGAGTGTGAGCAGGGTAATATTTAGTGCAGGGATTCAGGGAAACCGGTTATTTTATATAGCCGGACTTGAGTCCTGGAAATGGAAAGTACAATGCCTGCACTTTAAAGGAGGGGTTTGGGATATTGGCAGTTTGGAGGGATATGTTGTGTATCTTTATACGTATATACTTCTAAACTGTTGTAATCTGAGCACCTCTGCAAAAACAGTGATTATGTGTGAGTGAGGTGAAAGTGTTGAATGATGATGAAAGTATTTTTTTGGGGGGGATTTTCTTTCTTTTTGGGTCACCCTGCCTCGGTGGGAGACGATGGACTTGTTAAAAAAAAAAATGCTAATATCAACTCGACAGCTTATTTATCTATCAGAATTGATCTAATATGACGTAATGAACGCAATAAGTAACACAGAAACATCATATATATACTCTAGAATGAATAAAATAGGCCATACAGGTCCGCCATCACAAATCCAGCAATCAGTTATTCGGTTCCTTCAGTTATTCGGCACTAATTTTGGCAAGCATAATTTCAAATTTCCAGGGTCGCCACACCAACTTGCTGCTACTGTCTGGTGGTGCTACTTGCTACATAAGTCATTCCAGTTTCTTTTTCTCCATTTATTGTTATAACCTGCTTACTTTTAGCCCTAGCCATGGTTCCAACAAATAAAAGAAATGCTTCTCTTTGTGTAAAGCACCTACACAGTGCATTGTCCATTAAAGATAAGGTGGTTTTAAAGCCACTGTCAGTTGCCATGAGCTCAGTCTCGTGATGCAGGGGAATCTGCTTTATTATTACATTAATATCAACACTACAGCTTATTTGCCTATCACAATTGATCTAATATGACATAATAAACAATATAAAATATTTGGCATAATGCCGAGCAGTTCGATGGAGGTATAAAGAGGATATGGGATACAAGTACCATTCTCCTATCCCTGTCTTGGGGGCTTATGTTAGAGAAAATGGAGTATAGCACAGGGCTAACTGTGATATATACTCATACTGCACCATAAAACTGCAACAAAAAAGCTATTTTCTCTACATAGATTATCACACACAGCAGCATATGTGTAGAGAACATAGGATAACCCAAAACAGTCAGACAAAGTAGCTTATTTCTAGTGCCTGGTTTGGGTTAGCCATATATGGTTTTTGGTAAATATTCGATTCCCAGCCAGGGAAGAAACATTGGGCATGTTTCTCTACACCTGCTGTCTATGTTTACCCATCAGTAAATGGGTACCTGGGTGTTAATGGACAGGTGTAGGTCATATCCTGGGACACTGACCTAACTTGCCTGAAATGCTCAGCATAACAAGGGGCTTTCTATATAGCAGTATGTCACCGATGTCAGCTAGGCCTATATACCATGTACATGTACAGTACTTGTAGTAAATAAAGATATCATTATTATTATTATTATTATTTCTCTCATTTGTTTGTTGGGCTTCTCTCAGTTGCTTGTTGGGCTATCTTATTGAAATTTGGGCAATGTATGATGCAAAGATGCTTCTTGACATACACCAAAGATGAAAAAAAAAAACGTATGATAAATGAGGGAGTTCGCCTCTTAACCATTAGCCGCCTCTTTGCAGTATATTTTCGTATGGTTTTTATGGTTGTATTCTCGTATTTTCGGTCTCATTTGATAGAATGGAAGATATTTCACAGAAATAGATATGATTCTGATTGACTTCACAATGAAAAGTACCTTGAAATTGAGCTCAAAGTAGCAGAAATGTTCGATTTTTGCCGATGTTCAATGAACTTTGTGTAAGTCAAGTTGGTTAATTTTATTAAGTGCATTCTAACCTAATCACTCTGTAATCCGGCAAACTCAGTAATCCAGCACACTACAGGTCCCAATGATGCCGGATTTGTGATGGAGGGCCTCTAATATGGCAAGTGCCCACGACCAGTCCGAGCATAATAAATCATTACTGCTGCTTCCTATAACGTGTTCTTTGGTGCTGGGTAAGAGAAAACAGAGTTTTTGAGAGGCTAACTGCACTAGATCACTAGTGCATTTATATATGAACATCTCAGAGGTAAGTTATTGACTTATTTCATGAAACCCACCATTTATTGAAGTAAATGCAATAATATTGACAGGAATCATAAAAAAAATGATTGTTCTACAATTTGCTTGTGGAATGTGTGGGAGTAAAGGGCTAGATATTTAGCAAATGTCAAAAACTCAGCAACTTTATTTTTTTGTAGAATAACTAAAGATAATTACTACACGATTACCTCCAGTAAGAACATTGCACTAGCATTGTTTTATAACTAGCAAGTCCCAAAACCACCTTTCATTGTGCCATTTAGGCCGGGGTTCTTGCCAAATGTCATTTTCAGTAAATATTTTTTTTTCAGCAAATATTTTTTTTTCACTCATAACTCGGATTTTGGCTCAAAACAAAAAATCAACTGAGCGATGGACAATAACTCTGAAAACTTTTAAGTTGGGGCACTCATAAGTCAAGATACCACTGTATTAAAATTAGAACACTATGGTAAGGAAACTGCAGTTATTGTTTGTGAAAAGCATCAATCTAATTTCACAAATAATCCACACTTAAAAGAGGAAACTATAGGTAATGTTTTGGTTCATCCTGGCTGCATTCTAATGGTAATGTTGTGGATTCTAACTCTTATTAGCAACCCCATTTGGAGTCAAAATCCTGGTATTGGGAACCCCTGTTATAAGGGTATCAGAAAAGGGAAATAAATACAAAAACAAAAAACTTACAGAATTTCTTTGGGGTGGTAATCCATTACCGAGTTGTAGAGATAAAATCTTTTGAAATAATGTTGTGCTGTTGTTGTTACTGATGGAAGCATTCGAATTCGAGCATCTCTTGGGTCTCGAAATTTCTTGCAAAAATCTCTCAAAGAATGCTCATATGAACGAACCTACGAAAAAAATTAAAATAACACTTCATTCAAATACATAATTGTAAACAGATATACTGTACTATACAATACAATATCTAATGTACTTTCATAATGAGTTGGATTTTACTTCAAAGAACTGTTTCTTTTCAAGAAAATACTATTGCCATGTTTCTGGGAATGTTACAGTCTGGAGGGAATGTGTATGTGGCATGAAAGTTATTAGTTAATGTAAATAAATACAATTATCCAACCTTATGACTGGTATTTGGATGAACAAGGAGTTATCATTAAAACCACAAAATGACCGGTTAACCATAATTTCCGACAGAGGAATGCTGAGTAATTGAGCATCTATTATTATTTTTGAAGGCTCAGTCCCCATATGAAGTACCCCTGTGAATCAAAAGTATTGTAAAGCCTATTACAGTTTTATCAAACATACAGTTCTTACTCTGTCTTTTCCCCCCTCAAGACATTTTGTGTGTATTGTTTCAATTCAGTGTTGTAATATATCAATATACCATACTGTTCAAAACATAAATACGTATTAATATTATTTATTACTGTTTTATTATTATTGCATTATTATTATTATTATTATTATTATTATTATTATTATTATTATTATTATTATGGGGGAGCACTAAACCCATAGGATTATACATCACATGTGGGAGGGGGGGATGGAAGGTATTCAGGCTCAATTCAGGGAACTGGAGCACAGATCCAATTCCCTAGATCAAGAGCCCCTCACCAGCACCAGGGGATTACAGTGGTACCTCGAGTTGCGAACTTAATTTGTTCCAGAAGGCTGTTTGAGTGCTGTTACCAAACTAATTTGTTCCCATAAGGAATAATGTAAATTAGATCAGTCCGTTTCAGACCTCCAAAAATACTTACAAAAATACACTTGCATAATTGTTCATGTTGGGAGCTGTTTGAAACTCAAGGTGTACCACTGTATTATTATTATTATGATTATTTTTAACATAGTTGCTCTCTCCCACCGAGGTTGAATGACCCAATAAAAAGAGGAAACACATTCACCACCATTCACTTAACTGATATCTTGCCAGAAACGTGTTGACATCGTAAATCAGACTACCCTCTGACTGCAGCATCTCTACCCCTCCTCCACAGTGCAGACATTGTAAATCCAATTCCTCATTATTATGATTATTACTTCTCCCATGCACGTTGAATGCCTTCCCATCACTACTCTTTTATACCAACTCAATTGTGCAGCATAAAAATGTTGCTCATTCTTTCAGACTAAATGTTTGTATTCAACAAAGAAAAATAAATAAATCATCTTACCATCAAATGCTCCTCTTCTATAGTGAGAAAATGTTTAGCTCTCTCAACACTCTGTAAAAGAGAAACATCAATTTGATAGCTCAAAATTAAGTGGAAGACAGTATAGCACAATTATTTTATGTCCTACCATCATGTACACGACACTGAATTTCATTCCTCTCAAAGTTTTCATATAAGCTTGACAACTTTATTACAGTAAGTCCCCAACTTATGATGTTCCACTTTTACAATGTTGGCACTTTGGGACCAATAATGACTTACTAGTATTTACTCTCTTCAATAAGGGGAAGCATACACTTACATTTGCTATTTTTAACAAGATTTCTTCAAATTTTACTTTAAGCTGGTTAATACTGACTATTCATAAGAATGAATGACAAGAAAGAAAAGGCTTGGGTGTGGTGAAATCTAATGAACATAGAATGAAATCATATGTTAGTTAGCAATCTAAATGCTGTGTTAATTGCTAAATCTTTTTCAACTCTTAACTTTCAATAAAGGTGTGCAGTATTAACATTAGACACCATAAGAGTACAGAGAGAGCTGATGGTAAATGATTTAATAGCCTACATCAAAACTTTCTGCAGAGAAGGACAATCTACTACTGTCTGGAGGGAGGACTACCTGCCATTGCCAGATGGTTGAAGCCCAAAATGCCCCAGAATGATAGTGGCTTTCTTTGTACTTAACAAATCAAAATTATAATTACACACTCTAACCTTTGCAAAGAAATAAAATCTTAATCTTTATGTTTTTAAAGCAGAAGGGTCTCCCCCCACCCTCTATTTTCATCAGCCACTGCCAATATGAATGGAAAAAATACTGCATTGCAAAAAAAAAAAAATAATAAAAAAAGGCTACTTACTAGCTTTTAAAAATCTAAAATTAAAACAGAACAGTACTCACTGTCATATTTATTCCAAATTTCTCAATGAAGTCACTGTTGGCCTGAATGCGTAATTTAACCAGTTCATGCTCATCTTTAAAAGTCCAGTTCTGATACTGAGTGCTACTTCCATACATATTGTACTTAAACTGTACCTGTAAATTTGCATTTTATTTTCAGCAAACTCATAAAAAGATATAAAAAATAAAACTAAAGCTCTAAAAATAGGTTATGCTATAGACAATATTTGTATTTATAATGTATTAATAGATAGTGGAAACCCTTATAGGTCATTCAGCACTATATGGCAAGGATGAGCGGAAAAACAGACTTAAAGAGGTAAGGTATTGAGGGAAGAACGAGGGTAAAATGAGGAAGTCTTAGTCATGGAGGCAAAAAGAGGAATGTACCCAAGTACATTGGCTCCAAAACTGTTATGTGGATGTGAAGTATGAAATATAAAACACTGCAGCAAGGAGGCGGCTGGAGGCAGCAGAGATGTCGTATCCGAGGGAGATGTGTGGTGTGAATATTATGCAGAGAATCTGGAGCATGGATATTAGATGATGGTGTGGGGTTACAAAGATGCAACTCACAACAAACCAACTAACATGCAGTTATGTTTATTGCTAGGTGAACAATTGTCACGACACTTGCCCCTCCTAAGACTGAACCCAGTCTCTCTATATGCGCAGTAGTGATTGTAACTAGTGATGAACTGATTGCGCTACTTCACCACTTTGTCTACCACATCCTCCACCAGTGCTGATGAGCTAAGATTAATTGCAAGTGCAGGAAACATAGATATTATTGCTATAACAGAGACCTGGCTCAATCTGAAAGATAGAGAGATGCCCTCTGAATGTCACATACAAGGCTATAAATTATTCCACACTGACAGGGTCAACAGGAAACGTGGTGGAGTAGCGATGTATGTCAGAGACAATTTAAATTGTTGTGTTAGACAAGATATTAAATTAGAAGCGTCAGCCACTGAATCTGTTTGGTTACAGCTTCTCGAGGGCCGAGAAAAACTAATTTTGGGTGTGATTTACAGGGCCCCAAATCTTGATAGGGAGTGCAGTAAACTTCTATGGGACGAAATTCGTAAGGCATCTACATACGAAAATGTTGTGCTAATGGGAGATTTCAACTATAGACAGATTGACTGGAGCAATTTGACAGGAAATTTAGAGTCGGGTGACTTTCTTGATACGATCCAGGATTGTTTTTTAAAACAGTTTGTGACAGAGCCAACTAGGGGAAATAACCTCCTTGACTTGGTTCTTGCCAGTAGGGAAACACTAATTAATAATCTTGAGGTTAATGATGAGCTTGGGGAGAGTGATCACAAATCACTCAGTTTTAACATATCATGGAATTCCCCTAATAATGGCAATCAAGTCTCCGTCCCTGACTTTCGCTTGGCTGATTTCATAGGACTGAAAAATTACTTAGGTGGGCTGAACTGGAATGACCTGACTAGGGGTCAGGTAGGTGGTGACGGTTGCCGATATGATGCTTTCCAGGGCATAGTTCTAGCTGCTCAGTCAAATTATGTTCCAAATAGGGAAATCAGATCTAACAAAAATGATCCTAAATGGATGAACAATAGATTAAAATATCTGATTGGTCAAAAGAGAGGCATATATAGGCAAATCAAAAGAGGAGAGGGGCAATTAAGAAATCGATATATTCAGTTAAAGAGAGAAATAAAAAAGGGAATTAGAAAAGCAAATAGAGATTATGAGGTTAAAGTTGCAAGAGAATCGAAGACTAACCCAAAAGGATTCTTTCAGGTATACAGAAGTAAGATCAGGGACAAGATAGGCCCACTCAAAAGTTCCTCGGGTCAGCTCACTGACAGTGATAAGGAAATGTGTAGAATTTTTAACACATACTTCCTCTCAGTTTTTACACAGGAGGATACCAGCGATATTCCAGTAATGATAAATTATGTAGAACAGGACGATAATAAACTGTGCACTATTAGGGTCACAAGTGACATGGTCCTTAGGCAAATAGATAAATTAAAACCTAACAAATCCCCAGGCCCTGATGAACTGTATGGAAGGGTTCTAAAGGAATGTAAAGAGGAGCTTAGCACACCTTTGGCTAATCTTTTCAACATATCACTACAAACTGGCATGGTGCCAGATAAGTGGAAAATGGCAAATGTGATACCTATTTTCAAAACAGGTGACAGGTCCTTAGCTTCGAACTATAGACCAATAAGCCTAACCTCCATAGTGGGAAAATTTATGGAATCAATAATTGCCGAGGCAGTTCGTAGCCACCTTGAAAAGCATAAATTAATCAACGAATCTCAGCATGGTTTTACAAAGGGGCGTTCCTGCCTTACGAATTTATTAACTTTTTTCACTAAGGTATTTGAGGAGGTAGATCATGGTAATGAATATGATATTGTGTATATGGACTTCAGTAAGGCTTTTGACAGGGTCCCACATCAGAGACTATTGAGGAAAATTAAAGCACATGGAATAGGAGGAGAAATTTTTTCCTGGATAGAGGCATGGTTGACAAATAGGCAGCAGAGAGTTTGCATAAATGGGGAGAAATCAGAGTGGGGAAGCGTCACGAGCGGTGTTCCACAGGGGTCAGTGTTGGGCCCCCTGCTGTTCACAATCTACATAAACGACATAGATGAGGGCATAAAGAGCGACATCGGCAAGTTTGCCGATGACACCAAAATAGGCCGTCGAATTCATTCTGACGAGGACATTCGAGCACTCCAGGAAGATTTGAATAGACTGATGCAGTGGTCGGAGAAGTGGCAGATGCAGTTTAATATAGACAAATGCAAAGTTCTAAATGTTGGACAGGACAATAACCATGCCACATATAAACTAAATAATGTAGATCTTAATATTACGGATTGCGAAAAAGATTTAGGAGTTCTGGTTAGCAGTAATCTGAAACCAAGACAACAGTGCATAAGTGTTCGCAATAAAGCTAATAGAATCCTTGGCTTCATATCAAGAAGCATAAATAATAGGAGTCCTCAGGTTGTTCTTCAACTCTATACATCCTTGGTTAGGCCTCATTTAGATTATGCTGCACAATTTTGGTCACCGTATTACAGAATGGATATAAATTCTCTGGAAAATGTACAAAGGAGGATGACAAAGATGATCCCATGTATCAGAAACCTTCCCTATGAGGATAGACTAAGGGCCCTGAAACTGCACTCTCTAGAAAGACGTAGAATTAGGGGGGATATGATTGAGGTGTATAAGTGGAAGACAGGAATAAATAAAGGGGATGTAAATAGTGTGCTGAAAATATCTAGCCTAGACAGGACTCGCAGCAATGGTTTTAAGTTGGAAAAATTCAGATTCAGGAGGGATATAGGAAAGTACTGGTTTGGTAATAGAGTTGTGGATGAGTGGAACAAACTCCCAAGTACCGTTATAGAGGCCAGAACGTTGTGTAGCTTTAAAAATAGGTTGGATAAATACATGAGTAGATGTGGGTGGGTGTGAGTTAGACCTGATAGCTTGTGCTAACAGGTCGGTTGCCGTGTTCCTCCCTTAAGTCAATGTGACCTGACCTGACTAGGTTGGGTGCATTGGCTTAAGCCGGTAGGAGACTTGGACCTGCCTCGCATGGGCCAGTAGGCCTTCTGCAGTGTTCCTTCGTTCTTATGTTCTTATGTTCTTAACTGATGAAGCCTGCAGTGCGGGCGAAACGTTTCGTCAATAAAGATTCTAAGTGTTGCCCATTAGACTTACTCTTCAACTTGTCGACTTTATATACCATTACTATTATAATATTATTATAATCAAAAAGAAGCGTTAAACCACAAAGGCCATACAGCTTTATATACCATTAGTAACAAGAATTATTATATTTATGGGGAAGTGCTACACTCACAGGGGTCAAACAGCATCTAGTATGATCCAAGATAAAAAAAAAAAAAAAAAAAGAATTCAGATTCCTTGGATCACGTGCCCCCCCCATTGAAGGGTAAAACTAGCAGATGTAGCTGATTGCAATTAGTGATCATAACTATAAGCAGTAATATAACTAAGAAAATATGGTGATTAAAAGGAAGATGAGTACAATATTATCATTACACTCACGAGGGAATGCTAAACTAAGAGAGTACAATGACTACAGCTGTGCAAGTGATTACAGAATTTCAAGCACTCTTCTTGTTGTATGTTTAAAGGGCCACTACAGTTAACACCGTATACAGTCCTGAGTCTTGCTATCCGGGGGAAAAATATTGACCAAACCTAGGCGGGAACTTAGGAGGAAGCAAAAAGTACTCCAAAAATAGATACAGGATTTTTTTTTCTCTAGTTAGGCTACTGTCTTTACCAGAGACAGACGGCTACAACCCTCCAGGATGCGACCCACACAAGTCGACTAACACCTTGTAGGTACCTGGGTGTTAGTCGACTGGTGTGGGTCGCATATTAAGATAAGATAAGATTTCGTTCGGATTTTTAACCCCGGAGGGTTAGCCACCCAGGATAACCCAAGAAAGTCAGTGCGTCATCGAGGACTGTCTGACTTATTTCCATTGGGGTCCTTAATCTTGTCCCCCAGGATGCGACCCACACCAGTCGACTAACACCCAGGTACCTATTTGCTGCTAGGTGAACAGGACAACAGGTGTAAGGAAACGTGTCGGAATGTTTCCACCCGCCGGGAATCGAACCCGGGCCCTCCGTGTGTGAAGCGGGAGCTTGAGCCACCAGGCCACCGGGTAACAGTATGCCTTAGAGAGTAAGTTTATTCAGGTATACACAAATACAGTTAAACAGATTATCACACAGCAGCATATGTGTAGAGAACCTAAGATAACCCAAAAAAGTCAGAGTGACTTATTTCCATTGGGGTCCTGGAGCTTTGAAATGAGCAGGTGAGACAAGATAATGGCTCTGAGACTGTAAACTTGATTTGTGTAAAGAAAATAAACTTTCCACCTAAGTCAGTAGCCGGCTTTTTTATATTTGTCGTAGATTATTATAATAATAATCAAGGAGAAACGCTAAACCCGTAGAAATCTACAGACTAAAAGATGGTACTTCTGCGCCAGCCTTCCTCGAGTGTGAACATCTCACTTTCGCCTAAGTATTGGTGATAATTTCCTCTATTTTTCTGACACTTGTCCATCTCATTTTGCCCACTAGGCGCTTTACAGGAAGAGCGCCTTTCACCGGCTCCATTTTCCGCTCGGAGGATATTTCTTCAACGGTTTCGGATGGAAGCCGGTTGTAGGTGCCCTACTTAATAATAATAATAATAATAATAATAATAATAATAATAATAATAATAATAACAATAATAATAATAATAATAATAATAATAATAATTATTATTATTATAATCAAGGGGGAAGCGCTAAACCCGGAGGATTATACAGCGCCTGGGGGGGATGTGGAAGGCATTCAGGCTTAATTCGGGGAACTGGAGCACAGATCCAATTCCCTAAATCAAGAGCCCCTCACCAACATCAAGGAACCTTCCTTGAGGGGCCCTATAATAGTAATAGTATCTTTATTACTACAAGTACATGTACATAGTATACAGGTTTAGGTGGCCTGGTGGCTAAAGCTCTCGCTTCACACACGGAGGGCCCGGGTTCGGTTCCCGGCGGGGTGGAAACATTTCGACGTGTTTCCTTACACCTATATTATTATTATTATAATCAAAAAGAAGCGCTAAGCCACCCTTACACCTATAGTCATGTTCACCTAGCAGCAAATAGGTACCAGGGTGTTAGTCGACTGGTGTGGGTCGCATCCTGGGGGACAAAATTGAGAACCACAAAGGAAATAATTTAGACTACTCGATGACGCACTGACTTTCTTGGGTTATCCTTGGTGGCTAACCCTCCGGGGTTAAAAATCCGAAGAAAATCTTATCTTAATGACACACTACTATTAGAAAGCCGCTTGTTATGCTGAACATTCCGGGCAAATTAGGTCAGTTTTGTCCCAGGATGCGACCCGCACCAGTCGATTGATGCCCAGGTACCCATTTTAAACTGATGGGTGAACAGGGACAGGGACAGCAAGTGTCTTATGGAAACACCTCCCTAAAGTTTTCCAGCCCGTACCGGAGGAGATTCGAACCCCGGACCTCAGTGTGTGAGCTGATTGCGCTAGCGATAGAGCTACGGGTCACCTATTTGCAGAACCAGGAGCAGGGCCAGATAAGAAGTCTCCGGGCCCTAGGCTATTCAGATTGGCGGGGCCCCTTTGAGTTAAGGGGAAGCAAAGCAACCCCTTCCAGCTTGGGGGTGGGGGGGGGGGGGGGTAGGTGTGAGCCTTTTTAAGGTCTAATTAAATACATTCTGGCTATTTAGATTAAATTTAATAGGGAAAGTACATCAAGACAACCAAAACCATTTACCAACAGCCATTATAACTATCTTGTTAAATCATGCATTTTAAAGAGAATAAACTCAAGACAGCATAGTATTACTAGATTAGGCTATTAAAGTAGTGACATCATGTACCTATTATATTCAGCATAACCACTACAGCACTTTTATTCCCTTTATAAATCACTGACCATTGTTGTTATCATTGCATCATGCATAAGACTATCAAATCATATAAACTCAAAGTAAAGAATTGTTTATATTCACAGGCACTTCTTAAATAAACTTTTTTCTGGATTTCATATTGGCAAAACCATCAATTATATTCTGAAAATAAATATTTCTTGTTAGATCAGACTCAATGATCAACAAGGCTAGGTTACACAATTTGTCTTGGCTCATTGTTGAACGGAGCTGGATTTTCACTCTTTTCAAAACAGAAAATGAACGTTCTCCTTCACAGTTAGTAGCTGGAAGTGTTAGGTAAAGGCGATACACTATGTCAACATTAGGGAAGGTTTCTGAGATACCTGCATTTCTTAAATGTTTCAAAGCAGCTGAGGGCGCACATTTTTCAGGTGGAGCTTTAATCTGATTCATATACCCAGAAAAATGAACTATTTCTTCAACAAATGTGTCCTGAACATCTGCTGAAAGGTGTTGTTGCAACTTTAAGAACATAAGAATGTAGGAACACTGCAGAAGGCCTACTGGCCCATACGAGGCAGCTTCTCTCAATTCTGCATCTGGCATAGTAGTAATTTTGAACAGAAATCCAAACTTGTCATTGAAATTCTGGTAATTTCTTTTCTTTTCACCAATTCTGTAATCATTGAATCCAGAATGACAAAGTATGTAGCTGTCTTACATTTCTGCCTTGGTAGCAACACAATTTCATTGTCTGGCTCTTCAAAATTGCGTTTCCTCTTCCTTGACCCCTGATGATCAGCCTGGTAACTGTAGTCTTTCACCAGCAGTTTAGCTTTCTCTTCAAACATTTCAAAAGCTTCATTGCGAAGTGAGCTTACAAATTCCACTAAGCCTGCATAGAGGTTAGCACAAGTAGCCATTTCAATTTCAATTTTCTGAAGGTAGTGACCCCTTTGTACTTGCACCATGTGCACAGTCTTGGATGAGCCCCTGAACCCCTTGGACCGCGGGGCCCTAGGCAAATGCCTAGTTTGCCTATGCGGTAATCTGGCCCTGATCAGGAGACCCTAGTGGGTTTAGCTCTTGGTTTTAATAATAATAATAATGCAGAACTAGGCATGGGAGTCCACCTGACCTAATTGGCAACTGTTTGTTCCGGTGTCTTTTACAATGGGAAATCTTTTTTCTTTACCTTCTTGCCCATTATTATAATAAAAACCAAGCACTAAACCCATAAGGGTCATACAGCACCTTGCCCATTATTATTATAATCAAAACTAGTCGCTAAACACACCAAGGTTTTACAGCACTGCACCTTCTTGCCCGGCTTTGAGGACTTGTGTGTCAAGTTTGATCTTGCTCTTGCCTGGGATTGGTAGCAAATTTTCCCCGTTCTCTCTGGGACGCCAGTTCCCATCATATTCTGCCCACCAGGCACTTTAAAGGAGTGGTATCATTCATCAGCTCCATTTCTTCCACTCACAGATATTTCTTTAACGGTTTTGGATGGAAGCCAGTTAAGATAAGGTTTGTTGGGAATTTTAACCCGGGGTAGGTTGAATTAGTCACCCAGGATAACTCAAGAAAGCCAGTGTGACATGGAGAGCTGTCAGTCTTTTTTCCATTATCCTTCAATCTTGTCTCCCAGAATGCCACCCCCACCAATTGACTAACACCCAGGTACCTACTTACTGCTAGGTGAACAGGGACAGCAGGTGTAAGGAAACATGCCCTGTGTTTCTACCCTTGCTGGGATTGAGTCAGGGACACTCAATGGAAGGATAAGATGATGATTTATTTATTAATTATTATTATTATTATCGTAAAACAAGGGGACTAAACCTGCAAAGGTCATACCAGTTGGTGAGATTCATCAGTAAAACCTGAATTTGTGGTCACAGTGGGGCCCATGCTAACTATTCTAGTGTGTACAGAACTACATCTAGCTTAAATAACAAAAGAAGGCACAATACCATGACTGGAACAATACACAAATAACCCGAACATAGAAGAGAGGAGCTTAAGATGACGTTTCAGTCTGACTTGGACTTTGTAAATGGTTCAAGTTCGACTGAAACGTCATCATAAATTCCTCTCTTCTATGTGCGGGTTATGTATATATCTAGCTTGATTGAATCTTATTAGACCAATATTGTATAACAGTTAGCCACTATCAGGACTGACTTTCCATGGGTTTGAACTTTACCTGTTCTGCAAGTTGGTGAGTGAGACACGAATTGCAGAGGTGTTTTTATGGGTACGTTTCACCACAAATTTGCTTTATGAAGTGTCAGATCTTTGCCACTTCTCTGGTGTTCTGTAAGTTTCCAATTGTGTTATGATTAACTGAGTCATCTGTTAGGATCAAGGAGCATAAATATGCATGCAACAGGGATGACCAATGTAATATCTGCATGTTGCATAAAGACATCAAGGGACATTCTGATAAAATGGAATGAGACCAAGATGGTCATCTGGGAGCCAAATTTAAGATACCAGTGTTTAGAGTCATTTCTGGTGCAGAAAGATATAACACATCTGCCATGTTGGTACACAAGCTTATTGATTGATCGTCACCCCACCCACCTCAGGATACAGCTGTCAGGTGACCTTAACAATTAAGCTCGCCTTGCTTCACTAAAGTTCAGCTTACCTCAGATGTAACTTTTCTTATATAAAACTGTTTCAAATGCCCTACATATATTTGGTGCGAAGAAAATTCCA